CAAGCGTCTGTGCGGTTTGATAGTTTCATTTGTTGCACCCACTTGAATTGTGCTCAGATTCATTTATGGTACGTTAGAGGGTGCTGAATGTTGACTACCCTTTCACTTTGTTTGCGACAGCCGAGTTGTGTGCATTAGTGATTCATGTCTCGTTGTGTTTGTTAGCCATTGAAATCTAGCAGTAAATCACCGAACTGACAGGGTAAGCTTCTTTATTTTACATTTAAATAATATTGGTTAGGAGTCTTCACAATTTTTTACTTTCCCCCACCCGTATCCATCATTCCAGCACGTGCTTAAAACGAGGTCATGACCTCGTCTTTCCACATAATTTCCAACCCGTCATCATCATCATCATCCAGTCAGCGTTTTGTAGGTCTCATCTATCTAATTCAGTTGAAAAAGAGTAGTCAATAACCTCCAGGGTTTACGTTTTGCTATTTTGTATGAATATAAACGTATTCCTGTGACTGCAATGTGTGTTTGGCCAACCGAAGAGGTCATATCCGACTTTCCCCCTAACTTTTATTTATTTATTTTATTTTCCCCCCTGCAGTTTAAATTTGCTTGGCACAAACAAATATTTGTGATGTTTCGCATTGCCTTATCAGTATCATATTGAGTGCATTGAGTACCTTTACGAACGTTCATTAATAATTATTACCCTTTTCCGTAATGAATCTGATAGAACGAAACCAATCCGTGTTTATGTTGTTAGTGTTGTCAACATCTTGCGTTCTACTTATGTGCTGTGTACATTACACTACGACCATAGGCATTTTTCTCCAAAAATATTTTGCCCTTCTTCATGTGACTTCCTAACCTAATGTAGCACTGAAATCGTGGAAGACTTCCTTTTTATACAAAATAGTTGTACGAACGTTGAACAAAGAACAAAAAAATTTTGTATCTCTTTTATACTTTTGTGGTTAAAATTAGTAGTGATCAGAATGTCCCCGCGGGCTAAAGCGTGGGTCTTGGCCGTTCAAACATTGAGATCATACGTTCGAATCCCACTCGAGGCATGGAGGTGTGTCTTCGTCTTTCTGTATTGAATTGTCCTGTGTAGGAAGAAGACTACTGATGTGTCTGAATCCCTTCCCCACCCCACTCTAAGAGTCCTATCTACGGTCGGAAAATTTTGCAAAACATGTTTTAGAGAGGCTAAGACTCACAGCAGGTCCTATATTGTAATTAATTCTCTTAATTTGAAAATTAATTACTGTTCATTATCAAGAATTCGCGAAACATTTGTGGTAGATGAGAAATGTATACGAAATTATAGTCTGGATGCCTAAGCTGAATATACTCCTTGGGAGACTTAGGCATGTGTGGGAAGATAATATTAAAATTAAATCAGGTGTGAGTATTGGCAAGATGTGTTGCAGTGCCTTCTTCTGTGAACACTGTAATGGACCTTCGAATTCCATAAAAGGAGGGCATGGAATTTCCAGGCTAATTGAACGACTCTTTCTAAGAACGTATCTGAACTGTGACGTTAATAATTAGTACGAATTAACTCATTCACGTACTGTATCCACGTCTGTCTAGAGGGTACTAAGAATTACGATAAAAGTGCATCACGTTTTTAGCCTTAGTAGAATATGTCTCCTACATGCACGATTCTTTTCGACGAGGTACCGTTTTGTGATTAACCTCGAGGGAGTGAGAAGAGGCTGTCAGGAAAGCTGACCTTGTGTGGAGCAGACAGGCTGACTTGTAGAGTGGGGCAAGAGGTCTCTCGACAACGAGGTCGCCCGATACTTACTTGGTCAGTGTCGAGGCTGTCCGACTTGTTTGGGCCTTGCTGGGGGTTGAACAGAAGTTGCATGACCATTCCCAGCATGTTGCTCCAAGAAAAGCCTTCCTGCGACTGAACAGTGTTCATTGTAATTAAACTTGGCACCCAAAACCAAATTTGCCATTAGTCGCTAACCATTTAAAGACTAAGAAAGACAATTCTCGTTTATAGACGCTGTAACTTTTTGACTTAGACATATTTATTAAGCAATGTCAAGTACGAACTAAGATTTGAGGTTTTCACAGCGGTGAATATGAAGATTTCTGTCTTCTGGGTTGTTGTGTAGTGTGGTAGATGTTAACCAACGTTTCAGAGGTCATGCCGCCTTTGTCATCAGTATAACCTCTGAAACGTTGGTTAACATCTACCAGACTACACATCGCAACAACCCAGAAGACAGAAATCTTTATGTCAATTACGTTTTCACCATTATGAACTTCTATAGTAGAAATATAATTTTGTCGAAATGAATGCATTGGCCTTAAATGTTTATTTGTCGGTGTTGCTAATCTTCTAGCGGAATAATTAAGATATATTTCTTTTTCATATCATTAAAAGTGTTATCTTACTAATTCACATATTTTACATATATGTACCTTAAATAAGTTTAAGTCTTTTACTTAATTAATCTTCATTGTTTACCCGTTTGTTGCTATATCTTATCACCATTTATACAATGTACATAAATGAATGTACTGGCATTCGAACTGAATCATGTTCAACTTTTCAGAAAATATCTACTTAATTAACAAAATTAGTTACTTATTAAATACGTGACTATGTTGGCCACAAAATAATTCATTTTGAATTGTTTCAAAGCTGTTCGAACTACTGAGAGCCATAAGTTATTTTTCTTGTATTTCGTTAATTATTCATCATATCTGGAATTTTTTAAAATAAAACTTGCAGAACTTCATGTACTGGATGTTCTGTAACATGTACATATTTTTACGATCAGCCGTTTGTGAATAAAAAACTATGACGTTCTGTTTCAGCGGCGTACGTGTAATTATATTTAATTCATATAAACCAAAATTAAATTCCTTCCACATCTTTTAGCGTACATCCCAAAAACGAAATTTAATCGAATTCCGTTGAGTAGTTTTGGAGATCAGTCATACCAACTGATGCGCCCTCCCGATTATACGCTTATTTTACGTTCTTTTTGCGACGACAATAAATTAAAATAACCGTAACGTTTCAACAGTGGAATTCTTGTTCCAATGGAAATACAGAAAGGGGATCTATTATTCCTATTGGTCATTATTAATTTCTGATAAAAGCATAGGTCTAATATTTGAATTTAAAATTTATCATTAAAGATAGTTGACCTTCTGACGGAAATGACTAATAAAATACTTACTGATATTTGATTTGTGGAAACATCATCCAAATCATTATCGATGGCAACCTTTTTCAGAGCGTTGGGTTTTTCAGCGAATTTGCGTGGTTCTGGTATGGGCGTGAGACCAGGGTAACACATCACTGGAACCACGTAACTAGTTGCAACCAGAGCGACTAGAGTCCATCCTATTAGTTGTTGGTTCTTCATTCTGCAGAAACAAAGTTTCTTTATAACTCTTGTAGCCTATTATGAGAGGTGGAATATCGTGTTTCGTGTTGGCCTTTGATGTAAACGACGTCGAACCTTTGCGTTCTGCTATCAGAATCAGTATGGTCGTGGAAGACGTGTACTTGATATTAGATCATAATGTTCCAACCTTATCTAATAGCTTCAGAAAAGTTTCTAAATCTCTAACTTCGATTATTCAGTTTTTAATCTAGATTTTAATTAGTAGATGTAGTGTTTGAGGTCATTATTCATTAAGTTCTATATTAAGAACGCTTTTAAAATGGAAATCTAAAACATTTTAAAAATAATTATAGTCTATTAAGGCCACCACTTCAGTGTCTAAATAACTTATTTCTCTCTCAACACCAGGTTTGAAAAAAATGTTCAAAATTTACAAAACTGTAAATTATACGTATTAACGCACTTGCTTTTTAGTGCGATCACGAATTAATTCAAAATACTGTAGATTATTACGCAATGAAAACAGATCAAGTCCTTTGAATTGTACAGTTAAAACTAAATAAGTTATTTCTTTGTAAAGAATACCTATACAAACACCTTCAATGTGCAACTTTCTATTCTCGTGGAAATTCCGAGATGCAGTAGTTTCCCGTATTCACAATTGCGTCTTTATCATCTGTCTATAATACACTAACGACCAGTGAACTTTATGATTGTTCCTATTGTTAACGTTCAGAATGGTTCGTTACACCGGGCGTTTGTCAACTGTCACCTATTGTCAAGGTTTCACTATTTCTGCAGACTTCCACTTGTTGTTACTTCAATGATGCTTTCGCGATTGTCTCTTAAGAAAGTCGTACGCATTCTCGATCTTAACAAACTACATTATTTAACGTTGATGCTCTACAGTAACAGCGTCTTATAAACTACAAGAAAACATGAACACTTTCTGGTACAGCAAACACACACACCATTGTCGGCAAAAAAAATACACTTCGCTGAGTTTCACGAAAATACTCGTAATAAAAATGAAAAAAAATATATGTAGATGTTTCGCGTGTCATTAAAAGAGTGTTCTGTAACGGATGTGCCGCGAAATTTTGTAAGAAATTTTATATTCGCACTTAATAATTAGAAAAATTCAATATCTTATCTTTCGTAGTTATAATTCGTAATGCACAGAGACACTGGTTCGTCATCGATAGATTTATTCAACATGTATTATGTTTTGTTTAATTATTCCTGCATTCTTATAGGGCTAGGATTTATACATAGATACATATTTATGACCTTGTATAATTTTCTAACCCCTTGTGCAGCTGATAACATGTTGCCATTAACTGGCTCGATGGTAAGGGGGCCAGAATCTTCAACGCAGCTAATGATGAAGCTTTTGAGTCAACTCCATCTACCGATCCTCACTGCCTATAAGCCTGTACAAAAATTAATCTTAATTGTTGTACGCGACTAGCGTTTGGCTTTCAGTGATCAGCCCCCTCGAATGTTCGATTTCCATCGTTTTGGCAGCTTTATATGACATTTCTGATTGGGAATGATCTCAGTAATAATATCTTGATATATCTATATAGAGTCGTGGGACAATGTATTGTTCATTATAACTAAGAATCATTCCAAGTTGAATTAAGTTCAGGCTATTGTTATGCAACCTGCTTCGCGAATCACATCTGTATTTCATACGAATACAACCCAAATGATTAAACTTTCACAGCAAACAAATGCCGGTAGAAGCTGACATAGGAATCGCCAAGCTGTATGTTTGGGTACTTTCTTTTATCGCTACCAGGAAATGGATCCTAAATATGAATGAAGGTAGTCAGATGAATGGTAGGAGCCGGTCGGTTTGTGGGTCAACTGGCGTCTCTGAACGTGAATAGGAAATGAGCTTCTGGGCCAAGTTCATTGCCTCCTTGAATCTACTTTTTATATGCGTAATACATCGAAATGTTTATCAGTCGCATGTAATGTTATTGGGATGTTTTATGCAGCAAATTGTGCCAAAATACTAATTTAAGTAGGTAATGTATAATAATACAGGTTGTGAAAAAATATGACCGAAGTATTACAAAGAAAGTAGGATGATGCAATGCGACAGACACTTGACTTCATCCAACTACTGGTATACTCATGTATCGAAGCATTTCGTTATACAGTAAAATCTGCTTACCAAGGAACCTGATTTCTTTCCAGTGACATATTTCCGTTTAATACGGTCACTTGCATTGACGGAACGTGTTAACCTTGTTAGCCGAGTTAGCCTGGCTAACATAAAGAAAAACTAAAAGTCTTGTCTTACTTTCATAGTCAATGTTGTGTTACAGTGTGTGTTGTCCCGCCGTGTTATGAAATTAACACAGAAGACTTTTTTTGTTTTTCCAATGTGTTAACCGGGCTAACACGGTTAATATGAGCGCTTCAACCCTGGTTACTTGTTTACAGATCTACATAGATATGATATGACATATTACATTACCAGTGTATGTGTAACTCAAGGCTCAAGTCAGATATGCTGGACTTACTGATAGTATATTCCACCTCCTCCCTTATTTCACATTTTTATGTTTTTTAAAGTATCTCGTGGAAAAGTTAACTCCAGTTCGTGGTGCACATATTTTTCCAAACGCTTTTTTTCCCGATTTTCCTTAAGTCGAATATGAGTTTCTGTGTAAAACAGGCGTTATGTCGGACGGGTGTTGATAAAAATTAGTCTATCGGTAACCAGTGCAAACCACCGTAACTAAATTTCGTCGAAATCTTTAGAGTATTTTTGGAGAACAACGTCATTTTACTAGAAGATAAACAGACACGACCCGCCAGGTATTCGTAATTTTATAGACTTCAAATGCAAAGAACGTATAATAAAGGAAACTAATTATTTATTTTTCTCGAGGAATAAATTTGGGTTATAGGCCCACACTGGGTTTTAAGACACTGGTGTCCTTTTTCACACTTGTAGTTTGATTTACTTTTCAAAGAATGATATTAATTTATTTAAAAATCTCGAATTTTGTCATTTAATTCTACGAAGCTGAGAATACAGCCTACATTTCTGTGTCCTGAGGCCATGTAGCATGTAGTGGTATACCGTTTATAAGTAACTAGGCCGTACGTATATCATTAATTATTTCCACCTGATGAGACACCGCAGCGGCAGATGTGATTATCACCGATTACTTTACGCAAATGTCTCCATAAGTGGCGCATTATCTCCGAATGAAAGCAGATCTCTTGCGTTGAATGTTATGGATGGTTGCTCGGTTTGTTTCCTGCAGGCTTGATACCAAGAAAAATTATAAGTATGAAACTACTTATTATTTCGAAGATAGCCGTCCTCTTAGTTTGAGCGCCGTCTACTCTGGTAGAAGTTTTCCAACGTTTCAGAGGTCCTTTCTGCCTCGATCATCAGATCGATCAGTCATCTCCTTGCTTGCGTGATTTTTCACATGAAATTTCATTTCAGTGCTGAATTCTTATTCAATGCATGTTGCGTCATAAGTTGTAGAAAGTCTTACATTATTTCCAAATAGTTTTTCATAATTTTAAGAACTTAAAAATTGCTCTTAATTTAAGGTAAGGAACTTAATCATGTATTTAATATTGCGAGTGTTCCGCTCATCCAATTTCTTCTTCTTTAACCCTTTAAAGCCCATTGGTAATTATATATACCACCTGCTTTAACAGTCAGTAACTCTTCGTTTTGTATTAAGGAATATCGTATGATTCTCAGAATAAACATCTATTATTTCCTTAAACAGCATTAACCATTTGCTCCTTTTAATGGAGACGCGCTGTGTTTTCTATGCGGTAGGTACTGAATTCATAAATATTATTTAGATGAATTTCAAGCTGTTAATAAAGTCCACTTTACCTGTAACTTGGTGTGGTCATTTATGAAGTAATAATTTACATTAATTTTGGTGGGATTCAAGACGGGTCCGTGTTGTACACTGAGTTACGTGTTCTAACCCCAGTGTGCCCTAGAAGTGACGCTTGACTTATAAATTAGTGAAATTTAAACTTAACATGAACCAGAGCAAAATGCAAGCTTTCTTCACGCACGGCGTTGAAATGTTGTGCTTGGTTTGGTATCATTACAAACTCACTGGGCCGTAAGTATAACATAAGAAACTGCAGAAAATTTGATTAACAACCCTCAATAGCGACTGGTCTGCGTCATGTGTCTTTTGACCCACAAAGAACCCAGGAGACTCATTATGAAGTCGACGTGACCCCCATTCACAACTGCTAACATTAGCTTGGCTGTTTATTGTGAGATTCAAGTGTTGAATAAAGTTGTTTGAACAGCCTACTTTCCCGAAACAGTGCCGTGCAGCAATGATGTCTGTAACGCTTCTAGCTAGAACATGTTAGTTACCACGATCGATAGTCGATAGAGAGAAGACCTCTCTGCCTTTGATTCTTTTGTATTTAGGTTGAACTATATGTGAAAATTGTCAATGTGAGAGTTCTATTCCAAGCGAGTGCTGAATTGGTACGTTTCGAGATGTTTTCTATGTAACATACTTCTGGATTCATTTACCATTGTGTCCATTTATCACGCCATTAGTTACTTATATTTGGTTTCCTCAGTAAATACATCTTTATAAAGGAACATAATTATTTCCAGTATCCAAATGTACATTTCAGAATCCTTTATTTTCCAATTTTAAACACATAAGATTAATATAAACAAAACTGCATTTATAGTCGTTTGTATGCATTGATGATTGTGTTCTGGGTTGTTGGCGCCGTGCAGTCTCGTAGAAGTTTACCGACGTTTCAGAGGTTACTGTCTTTTTCACCTCCCTAATGACACTACATCAACCCTTTAAAGCACAATAGTAACTGTATATACCACCTCCTTTAATATTAATTAAATGTATTTTGTCCACAGCGTTTATTTATATATTTTATGTAATTCTTAAAATAAACTGCGATTATTTCCGTAAACATCAATAACCACTTGAGTTCTGTAATGAAGATGAGTTGGTTCCTTTGAAG